AGGCTGAGTGAAAGGATTGCTTGAGACCAGGAGTTTGAAGCTGTAGTGGGCTATGATCATACCACTGTGCTCCAGCCTGGGCAACAGAGGGAGATCTCATCTAAAAAAAAAAAAAAGTAAAATAAATTTCAAAAACTCAACTTTGATGAGGCAGGTCACTGATTCAATGTCAGTGATACATTTGTAAATAAGGGGAGAGGGGAGGAAGAGCTTCTCGTTTTGGATTTGTTGAACTTGAAGTGTTTTGGATAGCTACAAAGAAGCACTCAATAGAGAGGTGAACCTATACTCAAAAGCCTGGGGAAAAGCTGAAAACCAAGGAGAAATAGAAGTACAAACCATAGAGGGCTGAATCAGTCAAGGAGCACTGCAGAGTGAAAAGAACAGGCCCTCCATGGAACACTTGTATGAGCATGTTAAGTAGCAGAAGAGAGCAAAAGAATTCAGAGAAACAGAGATGAAACCATCAGACAGGCAGTGACAGAAATTAATACAGGAGAATTTCCATATTGGAGAAGATTATGAACAACAGTTTGAAATATGGCAGAAGATTCAAGTAAGGCAAAAACTAGAGAGTAATCATAAGATTTAACAATTATGCTTGTGAACTCATCCTAGAAAAAGTGCTACATACCTCATTGTTGAATATCACTATGGTCACCTTTGAAGGACCCCCCTTGGGAAGCTATGCACCAATGCCAGAGCCTAGGACTCCTGTCAAAGCAATTTTGGAACTCTTTTTCTGGAATGGCCATCAGAGCTGTCATCATATTACTCTTGATGTCCTGAACGTTATCAAAGTGTCTTCAATATTTCCTTTATCTTTGGGTAAAGAAAAAATCATTGGGGGCCATATCGGGTGAGTAGGGAGGAGGGTGTTCCAATACAATTATTTGTTTACTGGCTAAAAACTCCCTCACAGATAGTGCTGGTGCATTGTTGTGATGCAAGAGCTCCTTTGGGACCATTTCTGCACATACTTTTCTCATGCCAAGATATTCAGTTAAGAGTTTCCTGTTTCTCTATCCATGTTTATTTGGTCTGCTATGCTTCTCACAGTCAGCTGTCGATTTTGATGCACAATTCAAAGAATTTTTGCAATGTTTTTGTCAGTTCTGCTTGTTACTGGCCATCCTGACTCTCTTCATCAGTGACACTCTCTCTCCTCAGAAAAATGTTTAATTCATTTGTACACCGCCATTTTCTTCATGGTATTATCTCCATAAACGTGGACTAGCACGTCCCTGATTTCACTTCTACTCTTGCCAAATTTAACAAGAAATTTAATGTTTGTTCATTGCTCTAATTCAAGCTCTGACATTCTCATGATGGCACCCAAAAACATGCAACAACAAAAATGAACACCAGTCAGCAAGTTACTGCCACATGTCAACATGAACACAGCTGTGAGACACTAATATACCAAGGTTATGAAACCATACCAAGTTGTTTCTACATGGCTACCAATGTAAGTGCACAGTGACAAGTTTGTGAACTTAATTGTTAGACTTTGTATAACTTAGGTTAGCTTTTGAAAAAATAATCTAAGAGTATATGACGTGGGTTAAAACATAAATGAGCACTGGAAATATTTGCCAGAAAATAGAACTTTCAGGACTCTGCAGCACAACCTGCACGTATAGGCAAGTTGAGAGAAATGTATGAGGGGTAACATGAGGACATGTGATCAACTCAATCCTCCAGAAATTTCAGGTTTTATCCATGAATCAAGTAAACCCTTCCAAAAGGTCTGGAACCACAATATTTTAACAACTCTAGAAAAATCTTTCTCTGTGAGTTTTGCTTCTGTTCTCAGGTTCCATTGCAATCATGTAACAAAAGATTCTATCTTAGAGAATCAAAAAATACCAGAGACACATTTATATTCAATTTAGATGATTCTAAAGAATTATAATCTGCCCAATTCAACATGCCAACTTTGTATTATTTCTATATGAAGTTGAAGTTTTACTTATTTTCTCCTGAAGTTGCTACATTTCCATTTTTCTCCATAGAGCCTATAAGCTCATAAAATACACTGAAAAACAAAGTGAGGAGAAATAAATAACTCACCAGAGACTCATTCATTTTCTCTTCCTCTTGGAAACACATAAAGGACTTGGGGAGCATAGCTGAAAGAGAAGGTAGGTGATGTGGAGTTGTGAAAAACAGGGTGTGGCATGGCGTGGTCCTCAGTTCTCCTGCTTAAAACACTGTACACTTCAGCTGGAAGAGACAAAACAAACAAATAAACAAACAAACAAAAAGCACCTCCCTGTAGAAGAACAGTCCTCTATGCAAGAAAGGGCAACAAAAACCCTATTAAAGATAACCCACAGACATTAATTGGCAGACAGCAGATGTACAATTTGCTATTCAGTTAACAAAATCATACATTACCAACTGAATTTGAAACTATATATGTGTTTCACAGAATTAATGTAAGCCAAAAAAGCAAACATTATGTCTGCTTACCTAAAATGTTATAGGAATACCCTGGGCTATATGAACTACTATTGCCACGAGGTTGCCACACAGAATTCCATGTGAGTGCTTCCACTAAAACAGCTCGTTTTTATATGATCAAATTTCAAGGAAACCATGTGTGTTACCACCCAACATTTTCCACCCACAATTAAATAAGAAAATAATGTGCATATTGTACATTCTGTAGTACAGTTTCAACACTAGTTTCAAATGACCTGCCTCCATGTATCTCATAGTCCCCTCCAACAATAACAAAAGCTTTGTCATCTCACTTGCTTTGACTAAGAGGACATCAGTAAATATCACTAAAACAGGCTGAAGAGTGCTTGCCTGGTGATTCTTCCCTTCTTGGACACAAACATACTGGAGACACCCCTTTGGAGAACACAGAGCCTACAAAAGAGCCAGCATGAATCACCAGACATGAATTTCAAACCATTATGAAGTTAACCAGCCTCAAAATACAGGTGACTAAAACCCCATTTGTGATCCCAAACAACAACAGCACAGGAATTTCCCAACTGAATCCAGCACAAATGCTGGCTCAAAATATTATCACATTAAATTGTACTTTCTTTAAGCCTATGTACTACTGTTGATTCATTACAAAGAAAAGGTTATATGGTACATTTAATCTCCTGGAAATCAATTTTTTTTAAGGGCGTCTTCAAATACATTCCAAATACAAGTCCTCTTGATAAAGCAAGTGAAGCACTCACCAGAGTCAGGGTGCCTGACACATATATCATGTCACCATGGGCAAGTCATTTATCTCATCAAATCCAATTTTTTCAACTTTCACTTAAGGCAAAATACTTTGGCAATCCCTTCCTGAATTGTGGCAAAGCACTATCAGGATAGAGGGAGCATCACTTATCTCCAGGTGCCAAATTTGGTGACAGACTAGGCTGAACAGAGCTGATTCTGGAAACAATCAATGAGGAAAGATTGAAGAGAAGTGATTGTGCTTACTGAGCACGGTAGATAATTCCTCTTCAGCTGAGTGGGTAGCGCTCTATCCTAGACCACACCTTCAACCCCCTCCCAAGTCGGGCTCGGTGGCTCAGCCTGTAATCGCGGTCTTTGGGAGGCTGAGGTGAGTGGATTGCCTGAGCCTGCGGGTTTGAGAACCGCCTGGGCAGCGAGACCTCATCTCTACAATAAATAAAAAAATCAGCCAGGCTTGGTAGCACATGCCTGTTATTCCGGCTACTCAGAAGGCTGAGGCAGAAGAATTGCTGGAGCCCAGCAGGCGAGGCTGTGGTGGCCGGGAGTGGCCACTGCACTCCAGTCTGGGCGACAGAGTGAGACTCCAACTCAAAACAACCCCCCCCCAAAAAAACCCAATAAACTTGCCAGGCCCTTCACTATCCTCCTCAGCCCAATGCACCTTTCCCTCCTGAAAGCTGGTCCAGACCTTCAAATGGCAGCCAGTTGTCATAGGTTCTGAAGTAGGTAGCATCACCCAAATCTTGCTCACTTCGAGTAGTAGAAACAACAATTACTTGAGCTAAAGTAAATGCTGAGATCCTCCCCTTTCTGGGGCTCTTGCCTCTGCTCTGAAGCGCTACTAAGAGGGTTCAGGTAATAGGGGTATTCTTTCATGTGGGATTCCTAGTCACAGGGTACCCTCCTTCAGTGAACTCTGTAACATCCACTGAATTCCAAAGTAAATAGGACCATTATCCAGGACTCCAATCTTCCTCGTAGAACACGGTCCTTAAACACTAGGTCTTGAATGAACTTCTGTGTACTCGGCCCAGCAATGCTAGGCAGGCTATGCAGTGCTGGAGGGGACCAGGAACTTCACTTGCTGAGCAGACACCAAGGAATCCCACAAACACACCTGCCACACAGGGAGACTGGGTCTGCACACACTTCACCACGGCTCATCTGGGAATCTGGGGCATTTCACGAGTCTTGCTGGTGCGCTCAGCTAATAGATGGATGTCCAGAAGGGCGTGCAGGGGACTGCCAGGGGCTCCAGCGGCCCAGCGGGGACGTGACCTCACACCTGGGCCTCCCAGGCTCGCCGGGTCTGCAGACCCCACCCCCTCTGTCCCTCACTAGCTTCTGTGTCCTGGCAGCGCCGCCTCCGACAAATCGGTAATTATCAGTGAGACCACCTCGCCTGTCTTGCCCATATAGACGACGTGAATTTCCGATTCGTCCTACCATGTCGCAGGTCGCTAATCCAGGATTTAATCAAGACCCCCCAAATTCTTCCTCGCGGTCACTTGCATAGAGAGCAGTTAACATGCGTCAGGCCCCGCCCACAGACAGCAACACTGACTCCCCGGGGAAAAAAACTAACTCCCTCATCCCTAAGGGAAGACCGCAGAAGCTAGTGGGAAATGCAGCCCTCCCATTCCGATGACATCACCAGCACAGGATCAACACTTTTTTCTTTGTTCCTTCTGCGCATATGCAGCTCCGCCCACGCCCGCCATCTTTGGTTTGGAAGGTGGGACCCCCTTGGTGCTGCAGATTGCTCCAAAGCTCCGCCCTTGGGTTCTGTGTTCCTGAATGTTGGAGCGAGGGTGAAAGAGGAGCCCGCGAGTCTCGGGAGGCTCCGAGGAGTAAGACGGGGTCCCCCACGTGATGGGAGCAGAATCGTGGGCAGACCTGAGGGGGGAGGGCCTGACGTGCACGTGCCAGCCGCGGGCCCCGGCCTGGGCCGGGGAAGTGGCGACTCGGACTGTGCCGCCCACGGTCGCTTTGTCGGAGGTGGCGCTGCCAGGAAGGCAGGCGTGGGCTTCCAGGGCTCAGAAGCTGGTGAGCCCAAGATGGCGCCGGGACCGAGGGGGTGGGGTCTGCAGACCCGGCGAGCCTGGTAGGCCCAGGTGTGAGATCACGTCCCCGCTGGGCCGCTGGAGCCCCCGGCAATCCAATGCACGCCCTTCTGGGCACCCATCTATTAGCTGAGCGCACCAGCAAGACTCGTGAAATGCCCCAGATTCCCAGATGAGCCGTGGTGAAGTGTGTGCAGACCCAGTCTCCGTGTGTGGCGGGTGTGTTTGTGGGATTCCTTGGTGTTTGTTCAGCAAGTGACGTTCCTGGTCCCTTCCTGCACTGCATAGCCTGCCTAGCACAGCTGGGCGGAGTTTACAGAAGTTTATTCAAGACCTAGTGTTTAAGGACCGTGAGTTCTACGAGGAAGATTGGTCCTGAATGATGGTCCTATTTACTTTGGAGTCCAGTGGGTGTTTGCAGAGTTCACTGGAGGGCGCCCCGTGACTAGAAATCCCACATGAAAGAATACCCCTATTGCCTGAACCCTCTCAGTAGCGCTTCAGAGCAGAGGCTAGAGCCCTAGAAAGGGGAGGATCTTAGCATTTACTTTGACTCAAGTAATTATTGTTTCTACTGCTCGAAGTGAGCAAGATTTGGGTGATGCTGCCTACGTCAGAATCGATGAACAACTGGCTGCCATTTGAAGGTCTAGACCAGCTTTCAGGAGGGAGAGGTGAATTGGGCTGAGGAGGATAGCCCGGCAAGTGTTTCTTATTTGGGGGGGTCTTGGAGGTATGGTCTAGGATGGAGAGCTACCCACTCACCTGAAGAGGAATTATCTATCGTGCTCAGTAAGCACAGTCACTTCTCTTCAGTCTTTTCTTACTGTTTCAAGAATCAACTCTGTTCAGCTCTGTTCAGCCTAGTCTGTCACCAAATTTGGCACCTAGAGATTAGCTGATGCTCCCTCTATCCTGATAGCGCTTTGCCACAATTCAGGAAGGGATTTCCAGGGTATTTTGCCCTAGGCGAAAGTTGAAAGAAGTGACTTACCTATGGTGACATGATATATTAATGTCAGGCATCCTGACTGGCTAGTGAATTTTGCCACAAGTGTTTTTTTTTTTCTCCCCTGCAGTTATATTTGTGGCACTGAGGCCAGTAACGATGTTTTTCACTTCATGCTAGCAATCTGTTCCTAAAAATAGATTCTTGAGGGAAACAAGAGGAACCTATTTTACATTACTTAAAACGGAACAATTAAACTGAAGCACACTTTCAAAGGAATAAAATATAAATAAAATACAGAATAAAGTCTACATAGAAGTATGAGACTTATGATAGAAAGAAAAAATGTTAAACATAGTCTTCTAATCTCCAGTTGCTGTGTACAATTAACATGATTTCAACCCCACTGAAGTTCAGCACTTGATGTTTATTGTGCTTTTCTAAACTACATGAGGTTTTAAAGTTGTTTTTTCTATTATTTTTTATAAGGCTTATTATTTCCAAGCCATTTGGTAATACATGTTTTTATTAACCCAGTAGTCAATTGTATGCCTATGCCTCTTAGGCTGGCCTGCAGTGGCAACATCATAGCTCACGCAGGTTCGAACTTCTGGGCTCAAGCAATTCTCCTGCTTTGGCTTCCCAAAGTACTAGGATTATAGGTGTGAGACACTGCACCCAGCCTAAAGTTTTAATTAAAGCTAAATTTCATGGAAAGTGTGCATGTTACCACCCAATATTTTCCATTCACAATTAAATAAAAAATATACATAATGTACATTCTTGTACAGTTCCACTGCTCGTTTAAAATGACATGCCTTCATGTATCTACACCCTCAGAGTCCCCTCCAACAACAACATAAACTTTGTCATCTTGCTTGCTTTGACCGTGTTTCCAACAGGGTAGCTCCAGGTTTCTTCACAGTATGTCTGTGTCCAAGAAGGGAGGCACCAGTGTGCAAGCACTTTTCAGCCTATTTTTGGATGACATTTACTGATGTTGTCTTGGTTAATGCAAGTGTGATGACAAAACTTATGTTGTTAGTGGAGATTCTATGAGAGTGTGGCTACATGGAGGCCCATCATGTGAAACCAGTCCTAGAACTGTGTGCTACAAAATATACATTATGTCCATTTTTTCTTATTGCAGGTAGAAAATATTGGGTAGTAACATGCATAGTTTCCATGAAATTTATATACATAAAAATGAGCTGAGTGTGATGGCTCATGCCTGTAGTTTCAGCACTTTGGGAGGTGGAAGGGAGAAAATTGCCTGAGCCCAGCAAGTCAAGACTGCAGTGGCATGAGCATACCACTGCACAAAAAAACAGATATTGTAGAGGGAACACTAATATAGAGAGTCCTGTGTGTCATTCTCATATTAACAGAATAGTTCATATAGCCCAAGGGTATTCTTATAACCTTAATTTTATTTAGTAAGTCATAATTGCTAATTTGTTTTAAATAGTATGGTTACTTTTTATGAGACTTATTTCTAAGTCAATTGATAATATATGTTTTTATCAACTTGGTAGTTAATTGTATGTCTGCTCGCTACCCATTAATGTAGTGTGACTTTATCTTCATTGGGGTCTTTGTTGCCCTTTCTTGCATAAGGGACTATGCTACAGGGAGGTGTTTACGTTTTTGGTCTATTCCAGCTGAAGTGTAGAGTGTTTTGAGCAGGAGAATCAAGGACCACGCCACACGAGCTCTCTCAGAACTCCACGCCTTCTGCTTTTCCTCTCAGCTATGCTTCCAGAATCCTCTATGTGTTTCCAAGAGCAAGATAAGATGAATGAGCCTTCAGTGAGTTGTTTATTTCTTCCTCATATTGTTTCACATTGTATTTTATGAGCATTATACGTTCCTAGAGTAAAATAGAAAAGTAGAAATAAGTAAAACTCAGCTTCAGGAAAATGTACATAAAAAACATGAAGTTGACATGTTTAAATAGGCTGGTTATGAGACCTCAGAGTCTTCTAGGTTGAGTCCAGATTTGTCTGTGGCTTTCTGAGCCCTGGCAAAAATGCAGATACTTTTTGTTACATGACTGCTGTGGAACCTGAGAATGGAGCATGCTAAATTCTCATGGGACATGATGACTTATTGACACCATGGTCTGAAACACCACCTTCATTGCTCACTTTGATGATGTAGGGGTTAGTTTTTTACTGTTAATTTTTAATTAAACACTTGTGACATTCAGCAATGGAAATGGTTATCTAGCGGTGAAGCAAAAACTCACATAAGAAGGGTTTTCCTGGAGTTGTTATAATTAGGTGATTCCAGACAGGACATTCTTGATTCACAGATAGCATCTGGAATTTTTAGAGGCTTGAATTGACCACAGGTCTTCATGTAACCCTCCATACATTTCTCTGAGCTTGTGTGTACATGCAGTTTGTACAACAAAATCTTGGAAGCTGTATTTTCTGGCAAATATTTCCAAGCTCATTTGTGTTTTAACCCACTTAATGTACTCTTTTTTTTTTGAGTTGAAGTCTCACTCTGTTGCCCGGACTTCCAAGTAGCTGGAACCACACCCAGCTAATTTTTTGATTTATTCTAGAGATGAGGTCTCGCCAAGTTGCCCAGGCTGGTCTCGAACCCACGGGCTCAGGCAATCCACTCACCTCGGCCTCCCAAAGCACGGGATTACAGGCTGAGCCACCGAACCCGACCTTAATGTACTCATTCATTTCTTCCAAAGTTCTCCATTAATTTGATGGTGTTCCTTGAGTTAGCATTTAGTTTGGGCTCAGTTGGAAAATTCCTATGCTAGTGTTGTTTGGGATCATAAAAGAGGCTTCAGTCACCTGGTGTTTTGATTGAGGCTAGTTGGTTTAAAAATTAGGGGACGTGGTAGTGTGTGCCTATAGTTCCAGCTAACTGGAAGGCTGAGGTGGAAGGATCGCTGGAGCCCAGCAGGTCGAGGCTGCACTCCAGTCTGGGTGACAGAGTGGGACTCTAACTCAAAAATAATAATAATAATAATAATAATAATAAGATGAGAAGGGAATTCATGCTGACTCGTGGGTAGGCTCTGTGGCTCCAACAGGGTAGCTCCAGGCTACCTAAGTTTTAGTTAAATCTAAATCCTGACTGCTCTCTAGTCTTTGCCTTACTTGAATCTTTTGATATATATGAAATGACTTTTCATGATTGTTCCTGGAAGTTCTCCTGTGTTAGTTTCCTCTCTGTTTCTCTGAATTTGGCTTCCACCTCAGTCTCCTGAGTAGCTGGAGCTGCAGGCAAGCACCATCACACCTGGCTAATTTTTTCTCTTACTCTGTAACATACCTCATCCAAGCGCTCCATCCTGGGCTCCTTTATTGTTACTCTGCAATTACTCCTTGACTGATTTGGCCCTCTGTGGTTTGTACTCCTGTTTCTCTGTTTGGCTTGTCCCCAGGCTTTTGGCCATGGATTCAAGTCTCTGTTGAATGATTCTTTGTAGCTATCCAAAAGACACCTCAAAATCAGCAAATCCAAAATGGGAAGCTCTTCCTCCTCTTTTCCCTTATTTATGGTATCACTGATGTTGAACCAGTGACCTGCCTCATCAAAGTGTAAATTTTTTTGGATTTTTTTCTCTGTCTCTCTAAGGTCTAATCTCATCCTTTTGTTCTTTTCATTTTATGCTTATATCTGCATACAGTGCTAATATGGGGGAGGAGCTATTGGTACATACAAACAAATATGGTAACTTTTTCAAATGGGAATTGTCATTCTTGGCAAAACCTGAGGGGTGTGTTTGCTTTGTGATAGTTTTTTTTTAAATAGTCAGGTTTCTGTTGCCTAGACTGGAGTGCAGTGATAAAATCATGGCTTGCTGTAGCTGTAACCTCTTCGGCTTAAGTGATACTTCCACCTCAGCCTCCCAAGTACCTGGAACTATAGGCATGTGCCTCCACAGCTGGCTACTAATAAAATTTTTTTTGTGTAGATGAGATTTGGCTATGTTGCCTAGGCTGGTCTCGAAGAATTCAAGAAGTCCTTCCGCCTTGGCCTCCAAAAGTGCTGGGATGCAGGTGTGAGCCACTGCTCCCGGCCTTGGCTCACATTGTATTCAAAGTATAATATTTAACTTTTAAATTCTTGACATTTTTTCTTGATACCTTTTATTGTTGATTTCTAATTTAATTCCACTGTGATCAGAGTATACCTTATAAGATTTTTGTCTTGAGACTTTTTTAATGGTTCATTATATGGTCTGTCTTAGAGAATGCTCCATATTGTGTTTAATAAATGGTCAAGATTTTGTTGTTTAGATCTGTCTCCTTGCTGACTTCACATGTTCCATCAGTTCCTTGTAAAAATTTTAGGGTTTTCTACACATAAGTTCATGTTGTCTTTGATCAGAGGTAAATTTATCTCTTTCTTTCCAATTTCCATGCCATTTATTTTCCTACTTAATTGCTCTGACTGGGACATCCAGACTATGGTAAATAGAAGTACCAAGAGCAGCCATTCTTACCTTGTTTTTGATCTTAGAGGAAAATTGTTCCGTCTTTGACCATTCATTATCTTATGGTTTCACTTATGACTTTTATTGTGATGAGGCTGTTTTAATCTATTTCTAGTTTTTTAGGTGTTTTTATTATTACAAACGTTCATTTTTGGTATGAGGGTAATGCTGGCCTGATAGAATAAGTTTGGAAATGTTTCCCCATCTTCAGTTTTTTGAGTAATTGCAGGAGGTTTGCTGCTAATTCTTCTTGAAATGTTTGTTAGAATTTTCCAGCGATGTCATCTGAACCTGGGATTTTCTTTGTTGGGAGATTTTTCATTACTGATTCAAACTCCTTACTTGTTGCAGTTCTTTTCAATTTTTAAAATTTCTTCTGGATTCAGTATGGTAGCCTGTTTTTAGGAATTAATCAATTTCATTTATGGTGTCTGTTGTTGGACATACCATTGCTCGTACTGTTTTTTTTTTTAAAATAATTATTTTATATCGTATCAGATGTGATGTCACCTCTTTCATTTATGATTTTTGTGTTTGAATCTTTTTTTATTTATCTCTACTCCATGCTATATTTTCTTTGTTATGCTCAGTTTGTAATTTTTTTTTTTTTTGAGTCAGAATCGTACTATATCCAGCCCAGGCTAGAGTGCAGTAGCATGAGGGCTCACTGCAGCCTCAACCTCCTGAGCTCAGGTGATACTTCCACCTCAGCTTCCTGAGTAGCTGGGACTGCAGGCATGCACCACCACACCTGGCTACTTTAAAAAAAAATTATAGAAATGAGGTCTTGCTATATTATCCAAGCTGGTCTTGAACTCCTGATCTCAAGTGATCCTCCTACTTCTGCCTCCCAAAGTGCTGGGATTACAGACGTGAGCCACCACACCTCGCTGTATTTTTTTTCCCCCAGCTTCCTGAAGTGTGAAGTTAGGTTTCTGATTTGACCTTTTTCTTTTGTAATTTAAGCATCTCCCACTATAAGAGTCCAGGTTAGTATTAATACACTGCACCCGATAGGTTTTCATATGATGTATTTTTGTGTTTATGTAAAGTTATTTTTTTTTCAGTACAATGTAATTGTGTTTTTATTTAAAGGTGATCAATGAAACATATGAATAATATGATCAATGAAACATTGTTGTAGTGCAGTTGTGCCCCCTTATCTGCCATTTCAGTTATATAGTCAGTTATGCTCTAAAAATATTTAATGGAAAATTTCAGAAAACAGCAATTGATAAGTTTTACATTGTATGACATTTCAAATAGTGTGATGAAGTCTTAAGCTATTCTGTCCATCCTTTCCAGGCCTGAATTATCTATTTGTCAAGCATAACTGCTGTGTTTCTGCTACTCACCTGTTAGTCACTTGGTGGCTGTCGTAAGTTATCAGATTGATTATCCTGGTATTGCAGTAACCCTTATTTTACTTAACAAGGCCTTGAAGAGCAAGAGAAGTGATGTTGGCAATTTGGGTATGCCACAGAGAAGCCGTTAAGTATCACCATCACAAGAAGGAAAAGGGTGAATAGAGTATCATTAGACATTTTCAGGCAGAGACAGACCACATTCACAAAACTTTTATTTCAGGATATTGTTGAATTGTTGTGCATCTCTTATCGTGTCTAGTTTATAGATTAAACTAGGTATGTACGTGTTTATAAATTAAACTAGGTATGTATGTGTAGGAAAAAATACAGTATATATAGGGTTCAGTAATACCTGTGGTTTCAGGAATCCTCTGGAGGTCTTGGAATATATCCCGAGTAGAAAAGTGGGGACTACTTTATTGTAAATGTTACCACACTCATAAATTTAAACTTTAGAAAATTTTTTTATATATATTGATACATATTTGGTTTTGGAAACATGGTCACCTTAGTGTATTGACATAGCAACCTAGAATTAAAGATAAATGTTAACAATAAAATCAACATGTACTGAGTCACAGACTTGCCAGATTGTATTTGTTACTAATTATTGTTATTATATAATTTTTTTCTATAAAATTTGCTATTTACTTTAATACCCCATGGAAGGAGCACACATTTCTTTAGCCCCAGGGGCAGGGTGACTGTGACATGCTAAGGGCATCAGCCCTAACCCTCCCCAAAGGCAGCTGCAGGGACAGGAATCTAGGTCATAGTATCAGGAAGAAATAGGCAAATGGAGTCTGGACAGTTAGCATATCTATAAAGGAGACCTAGGCAGTTTTCACTACATGTAGGCCTTCCGACTGACGGGTGTTGGGGTTGCTGTTGGGGGAGACCAGTTTCAAGACTAGAGGATCGAGGTAATGTTGAGGAAGTTTAAACCATTTACATTTAAAATAATGCTGAAA